ATGACCTGGCACCTAGTCCATCCTTCCTGACTGTCAGCCGCAGCCCTGCCCAGGCCTCAGTTCCCCATGTGCAGTTTGGCATGAGAAGTGATGCTTTTTGAGGGCCGAGTGCTGGGCATGTTTGCTGGTTCAGGTGTTAGAGAGCCTCCCCTTCCCTTCCCTCCCCTCCCCTCCCTCCCCTTCCTCTTCCCGGCTGAGGTGGTGCTTACCCCCGAGGAGGCCTAGGACAGGGTGAGCCCACTCAGGGCCCCAGGCAAGGCTCTGGGGCAGTGCAGGGGCCCTGACTGTGTACTGTACCACCCAGGGGACCCTCACCATCTACCCTATCATGACAGCAATGGTGACGTCCTCACAGCCTCAGGCCTCTGGAGAAGAGCTGCCCAGGCTCAGTGGGAAGGGGCTCCCATGCAGCGAGGGGTCACAGGTGCAGGAGGCACAGATGGGGCCGTGTCAACAGACACCCACAACTTCTTGTGAACCCACTGATGGGCCAGGACAGTGGTCGGCAAACTGCAGCTCACGAGCCACATGCGGCTCTTTGGCCCCTTGAGTGTGGCCACAAAGTTTCAATCGCACTGTACGTGCGCGCCCGCACGTGGTATTTTGTGGAAGAGCCACACTCAAGGGGCCTCAGTTTGCCGACCACTGGGCCAGGACAACGAAAGGGCTGTGTGCCTCATACTACTAGACACACAGCATGCACACAAACACACACACACCTCCAGTGCACACACACATCATTGTATAGAACAATATTCGGCCACGAAAAAGAATGCAGGCAACACTGCGGGAGAATCCCTCAGCCACAATGTTGAATGAGAGGGTCCCGACGCCGAGGGCCCTGCCGGGCAGCTTTGAAGAGTTGCCTGGAGTTCATGCCCCACGGGGAGTCCAGAACAGACGCCCTGTTGAGGACAGAGGCTGCCTCGGGGAGCAGGTCGGCCTGTGGCTGGATGTCCAGGGACAGACTGTCCCGTTCGAGCAGGGAGCTAGGTGTGGGCTCAGAGAACAGGCAGCTCTTGGCCCGGGAGGGAGGCCTGACGAGGGGAGGGCTGAGGACAGTCTCCACAGGAGAGTCCAGGTTGGGCTGGGCCTGGGCCGACTGACTCCAGGTGTGTGGGAGCAAGAAAGACCTGGGGAAATGGTGGGCTTCTGATGGTCACTCCGGCTGCTGTGGGGGATGGGCACGGTGAGGCCTGGGTGGTGACCAGGAGGAGAGGGGGGACTTGGGCCGGACAGGCAAGTAGGGGGTTGAGCCCTGTCCAGGCAAGAGTGGGTTTCACAGCTGAAGTCCAGAGGTGAGTGACTTGCCCAAGGCCACAACACCCTGCCCTTGTAGCTGGCCACCCTGAGGTCCATCGCCTGCAGGCAGAACCCTCGGGGGCAGCACAGAGGGCAGAGAGGCCGGGTGCTGGGAAGGAAGACGGTGAACTGGTGACAGGAGGGGACATGGGAGGCACCGGAGGGTGGGGGGGGTCTTCACTAAGGACGGTGCAGGCTAGGGGCACGTGACAGATGTCAAGTCCCTCGCTGTTTGGGACTATGAGGCTGCTGGCTGCAGGCTCTGGGCCCCCCACCTGAGCCCCTCAGACTCAGGCCGCACATGCCCCCCCGCCCCCCATTTGCCTGTCTGGCCCACCTTGGGCCAGGCGGGAGGCTGAGTGCACAGCTGGGCTGAGGGGCGCCGTGACAGCCGGGTGGGTGGGGGACCAGCAGCCTGCCCTCTGTGCCTGCCTCAGAGGGCTCTGCCTGCAGGGAGCTGAGTCCAAAGGGGTCAGCAAAGGGCAGGCAGTGTGGCCTGGGTCAGAGGCCAACAAGGGACACTC